GAGTCCTGAGCAGGGAAGTCCAGGTTCGAGTCCTGGCCCTAGGGGTTGGAGAGATCCGACTCTGGGAAGGAAGCTTAACGACAGGAAGCTGGCGCCAGAAGTGGAAAAGGTCGAACTCCTGACCCTACGGCAGTCCGAGTGGACGCCCTTCGGGAGAATTACCAGGAGCCTTGGGAATCTGGAAGGTGAGAGTGAGAGTGGTGAATGCGGCGCGCGCCAGAGTGAGAGGAGGACCGGTCCGAGTGAAAGTAGTGAAATGTGGTGTGGATGTATGCTGATGGTTACGCTCCTTATAGTAGGAGTGGGATTGGTTCTGTATTTTTCTATACGCACCTGGTTCTAAAACTTTTTTCCTCTCCATATACTGTTCCATACTCGGGACCAGAGTCTTCGCGTGGGACCGTTAATGACAAAGGAGCAACTGAGGCCTACTGGTCAGGGCCACTCCCTGATGTAGGTGGAAGGCTCTTAGTCCTCTTAACGGACCCCGACAGCCCTCACGGGTGGAGACGAAAGCCCCTTCTCACACTCTGCAACTCTAGTCTTTGGCGCTAACCATTAGACTAGCCTTTCCTGTCAACCACTACAACAGCCCCGCGGGCACGGGTCGAGCAATTAAAAGCCACAGGGCGCTCGCCGCTAAAAGACTCCCGTGTAAGAATAAGGGGGTCCCAGACATGAATCCCAGATAAATTCACGTCCTCCGTGGAAAAAAAACTGGGCAACAGAAGGCACTTGTTCACAAGCACAACCACCGGTCATCATTGTCTGAAGTGGTTTCTTTCTCTCTCTCTCTCTCCTTTTACTTTCAGTTCCCCAGATACCATGGGCCAAACTCAGGCCACCCCCAAAGGCACAATTCTTTCTCACTTTTCAGAAGTAAAGAAGAGGGCCTTGAAACTGGGCCCTAGCATCAAGAAGGGTAAGTTTGAGGCCCTCTGTTCCACCGGGTGGCTGGCTTTTGGGGTAGGATGGCCCAACCAGGGGTCTCTTTCTCTGAATATCATAGGCAAGGTTAAGGCAGTCATCACCCAACCCAACCCCGAAGGACACCC